AGTGACGGACTGGCTGTCTTGCTTTCAAAAACAAATGAAAGCAAGCTAATTCAATTCCTTTCACTTCTCGGAACCTGGAATGAATGGGAACATCGAAAAATGTCTCCGATCTTCAGAATATAAAGCGAAAATTAATTAAAAATTGCCTGTAACACAAACTACTTAATGTATTTAATGCAGAAACGGAAATAAGTAAATATATTTATTTTGTACAGTCTATACACAAACGTTTGAAGTTTATTGCTGTTGTAAAAAATTATATAATATTAAAACATTTTATTGTGTAAAATATTATATTAGCGCTCTTAATCGTAAATACGATTTTACATTATATTTTTTAGCGCTTTTTATTAAAACGACATGTTTCGACGGGTAATACCGTCGTCTTCAGGTTTTTATCAATTTAAAATATTTTAAAAACTATTAGATATTTGATGCAATATATTATAATGATCCGTAGTTCTGTTTGTAGCTTTCCATTTTCATGGTAAGTTGCTTATTGTATTATATTGCATCAAATATCTAATAGTTTTTAAAATATTTTAAAATTGATAAAAACCTGAAGACGACGGTATTACCCGTCGAAACATGTCGTTTTAATAAAAGCGCTAAAAAATATAATGTAAAATCGTATTTACGATTAAGAGCGCTAATATAATATTTTGCACAAAGAATGTTTTAATATTATATAATTTTTACAACACCAATAAACTTCAAACGTTTGTGTATAGACTGTACAAAATAAATATATTTAATCAAACACAAACATGACGCATATAAGATACAAAAAGGAAATAAGTACGTTAAATAGAAAATCGCTTGCTTTAATTAATACAGATTTTTCATATAAAATATTTTGTTAAGTTCTTTGTACATAAAAGGAACGAAAAAGGAGGGAGGTGAATTCTAACGTCTACGTAATCTTTTAAAAAATTCTGCTCCAGCTGTGAAAAGAAAGAATATGTTATGTAACTTAAACGACCACAGTAGACGATCTAATAATTTTATGTCGATCGGTAACCTGGGAGTTGGCCATGGGAGACAAACCCCTCAGAGCTAACAGTTTTGCCTGGGAATTGGTTGAATTATCTGCTACGTCCAAGACACGTGCGTAGGCTTATCTAACCACATATCAACTCCTTAACAGCATAAATTTATTAATCTTTGTAATGGTTGCTTAAATATTATAAACTCTGGCTTCAAAGGGTTAATCTCGATTGGTTCAATATGGAAAATGTAAATAATTTATACAGCAACAAATAGTTGTGTTGTATCATAGACAATACTGCAGTAGTCAATAACTGTTCAGTCTTATTAGTACTGTAAGATATCATTCCGCCATCTCAAGGACACAAAGTCTACGTGAAATAATCGAAATGAGCAAAACGTCTGTGGACAAAATGACTTAGACGTAACGTAGACTTATTGTAAACGTAAAATTGCACGAAATATCTGTGCATAAAAATGCAAGGCAAATTTCTAATGGGGTTAGAATTGTAGATGAAACCCCTAGGGTTGGTTTGAATACGAAGCACGGAGGTTAAAAGTCAGGATAATGAACCCAGGAATCAAAAGTACATTATAATTTACACTACAATTTAATGTTATATTTAAACCAATCTTTATACATTGTACATATATCTATAACAAAGACAATAACTTCATAAATTCAAATTGAACAGGATAATGAGATAAGCTCCCAAAAAAATTAAATAATCTCTCGCAGAAGAATATGGGAAATTGGAATCATTTTGAAAGTTTTTAATTCTGAATGCAAATTCAGCTACTTATTTCTAAAATTGATTCTGCTTCATATTCGTTTATACTTTACATAAAACAAGAAGTGTATCATCATACGCTAACCTAACATACTGTAATGCTGAACACTAAACACTAAAAAAAAAAAGCTAATTACCAGTTTACATAACATATATTTGTAATAACTGCTTCATGTCCCTAAATTATCAAAATAAATCATTACTATTACTGCAAGTCTGAAGTACCAAATAAACAAATTAAATAAATGTGAAATGGGAAACAAGCCCACACACAAATGAACAATTAACTCAAAATAATTTTATTCATACAGTAAGACAGCAGCAGTTTGAAGAAAAACGTACTGTAATGTTCCAGACCTCAGATTTGAATTTACAACCTCGATAGCTGACAAAGCATAAGAACAATTACAGCCCAAGGACCCACAGAAACACCTGATATTTCAGAACAATTGTGAATTTCTATTTGCATACAAACAAAAACACACATGTAATTAAATCTTTTCAGGTTATCAGCAGTGTCTGTATTAAATTCATTGTATTCAGTAGGTTTAAATTTTAAATTTTACTTACAGTTTTATGAAGGGGTGTGAAGAAAATATTTCTCCATTCTTTTCCTTCTGGTTTCCTAGGATCTAAAATAAATTTTAAAGCACGGACAAAAGTAGAAATTGGACGGGTACCATAAGTGAAGAAACATCTACCTCTGTCGATGCCTGCGTAAATAAAAATTCTACAGAAATATTATTCCAAAGGTATTGCGATATTTTACCAGATGAAATTTAATTGTAAACCAGCATTCAAAACCATTCACTGTAAGAACAACATAAGTCCAAAGTATAAAAATATTTTGCATTACGTAACACTGTGCCGTTACTTATTCACATGCAAGGCGGAATTTGTTCGGGGATGAAAGACGGAATTCTTGTCCCATTAAGATTTTCTCGCGAAACACTTGACCCTCATGAATCTGCCTTTTGCAATTAAGGGTATTAAGTAATCATAATTAATTCATTTGCATTTGTAGTTCATGCAGAAACTCAGTACTGTTTCTCTTGCAGGTTATCGAAAAATTAAAATTATTTCTGATATGCAAATTAAATTCAATTAGATAGCTACACCTTAACAGTGATTTCAATTAATTATTCTTGTCCGTCTATTCACAATTTAAAATTTCAAGCAAAATCAACTTAATCCATTGACAAATTCTTTAAAATATGCTTTATCATTGCGTTCCATAGATGTAAACATAAACTGGGCAGGCAATGATAAATACTGGATTCCTATTGGCTACCAGATGAAAGAGTCATGAGCTTAACAACTGAATGGCAGCCAAGCAGTGCCTGAATTTAATCATTAAAATAACTTTGGAAAATTATATGTATTCCATCAGAGCAACTTTTCATTACTATTTCAAATTCCAATAACAAATAACCATAAAAGTTCTGGCTACTATTAATAACAATCCTAGTTTTTTAAAAACAATGTACAAACTTTTGAACTTAAATTTGAAGATGGCTGTCTTCTGGGTTGTAGTGCCATGTGGACTTTGCCTCTCATATTCAATGCGTACCGGGGTCCTTTCCCGGGGGTAAAGCGTGGCCGAGGCGTGATGCTGACCACTTACCCCCATCTAGTGCCGAGGTTAAGAACGAGTAGGAGCTATACGGTCTCTCCCTCCAAGCGCCTAAATGGTGTAGCTTTACTTTACTACTGTAGTCACGTGATACGCAACATATGACAAAAATCCGACATAAATTCAGATACAAAATAACATGAAAAGGCAACCATACTCAGGTACAATGTGGTGGTCAAATGGTTAAGAAAACATTGAGCAAAATGTGAATGTGCATCGGTGGTTCATGAAAAGAATGCACACGATATACGTAATCTGCATGAAACTTCTGCCGAGACCAAATAAGAACAAGGATGTATGAGATTCACAAGATATATATAATGCCAAACGTAGCAGATATTCGCTTTCATGGATTTTAAAATCAAAACACTTTCTAAGGTCCACCAACATTCACTATTAAGGTATATAATCTACTATAACTTTTATAATAAGATTCACAACAAAACTCGATCGAAAATATCAAATTCTTCACGATAATCCTTCAACTCTGGTAGTGCCTGGACTCGAACATGGGAAACTTAAATTTACTAACACCCACACATAATTTTCATTAAGAAATCTTATTCTTCTGACTTCATAAAAATGAGACAGAATATTTTAAAGGCCTAGTACATTTCAATGTGAATATGTGAGCACATATTTTAGGATGGAAATTTCTGTCATAAATATTAATAGCAGTCTTGTAATTATAATGGTTTCTCAGAATTCTTAAGTTAAATTTCACAATCAACACACTCATTCCCTCTATCCATTTAAGTAAACATTAAATTAAACTAAAATTTTCCAAAGAGGAATTCAGAAATGAAACATATCGTAAATATACGATGCAGCAGATATATAAATTTCTACTACGTTCCGGATTTGTTAATTAGATTTATCATAAATGAACACCAGGAGAAAAATTATCATTCAACTAACAAAATCAAAGACAGGAGAACGTATTTTATGAACATCATTATAAAAGGACATCCTATAAAAGAGAACAAACGAAACAAAATTAAGCACATTAGCGCTTAGATGAATTTTCGGGTGAATATCAGATAATTTTTCTAACTCAATGCCAACCAACCACTGCATGAAATTCAAAATTGTTAAATAAATTACAAACAAAGAAAATCATGGATCCCAGTGTCATACAACACAACACAATTAGACAAATTAATATTTCATTTGCCAACGCATAC